ATGCATAATTTTCAATTGGCCCAAAATTCCCAAAAATGTTATTCTAATTTTAGTTTAATACTGGCATAAGCACAAACTGATGTCAAAGCAGATATAAATTTCAGACAGAAAGCAGAACTGTCAAACAAAAAGCAACAAAAAAAAACATGATAATTATGGATGAAACAAAGTAAACAATTTTAATTTACTTTCGAATTGCTGACGCGTATGTTTGCTGAAACGAAAAACAAGTTTCAAAATTGTTTCATATACATCAGCTCGCACTAGGACACGGGTAATGTTTAGAGCAAATTTAAAATAAAAACAGTTGAGATTAAGCGGGGGATTCAAATTAAATTTTAATAACAATCCTTGGATGGAATGGGTTTAATGTAAGCGCGGATTAAAATTATAGCATATTTGCATGTTGAGGCGCAGAAGGCGAAAGTAATTAAAGTCTCCGTTTCATGTCCCATATAGTTTAATGTTACGATAATATAAATGCTTCACTTTATAACACTCAAAATATTTTCGTGAAAATATTTAGAAAGGCAAAAATATGTGTATTCGCATTTATAAATATTGCTTGTGTGATAAAATGTTTCTGAATCAACCGCTATGAGTTTTTAAAGATTGATGTATAAACATAAATCCCTGAAGTTTTTTATTGTTAGACAAACACGTTCTGATAATCAAATTGAAAACGTCTGGGATTTTTTAAATGGAACTCTTGAGGATAAAAGAAGATATTTCGAGAAACACCCACCAACTCAATTCAATGATAAAAATAAAGTGCTCCAGACATCGTGTGCCGTAACTTTGCGTAATTTAAGCACTCTCTTGACACGATTTTGCTGGCAAGTGCGGGGGCTATAAGTCGGACTTGATTAAGCCAGTCAATTATTTGAACACATTTGGCAATTTCAAGAAGCTCTGAAATCGATCCCATGTTGATGTGAAAATTGGAAGCTTTAAAAGCTGAGAAAACCAAAAAATCGCCGCAAGAAAAGCAACAAGACCTGTGAAAAATTTGCCGAGTTGCAAGACAGTTGGTATTTGATCATTCTTTGCTAGAAACAAAACCGGTAATATTGAAAATAAACTGATTAAATATTCGCTCGCCAGCTCATGCCAAACAATCACAGTTAAAATCAAAATGTCCATGTTAGTCGCATCACACTGAAACAAACAAAGCCTAAACAGGGCTTAATTTAAAAAAAAGTGTTTATCCAGCTCAAGAATGCAATGAATTGTTATTGATTGAGAGCTTCAGCTGACACTCAGCAACTCTAAACACGTCAGCATACAAACTGTTGCACTTAAATAAATTAAAACAGTGAAAAAGTATTGACGTGATCGGAGAGACAATTGCGTTAAATGTAGGCGCACAATGGAGAAAACAATCATAGACTGGCTTGTTTATGGCGTACGTTTCACACAAAGAATGGAAATGGATGTGCAATGGATGTGCAAAAGCTGGAAAATTTACCCAAGAATACCAAGTGCCTCGCAGATGATTCGCAGTTTAAAGAATGAAGTTTCTGGGCGGATTTTTTCAACACTTCTATTATATTAAAACTATTTCCTGTCTACATAAAATTTTCGCACCAATAGCGAGTGGGAAACTGTTAATGGAGTAACCCTCAGATCCAAACTGAAATTGTTTCCCTTAGATAGATTTCTTTGGAAAATTGGTTGGCACACTATGAATTTCAAATTCGGCTTTGGACCCAACATTTCAACAGTAAATAGTTCATTGTTATTCAGGTTTGAAATTAATTCCCTGCAATATTCACAGAGGATAATTTCCCGATTTCAATCAAGTATGGTTTTGTCTAGATGGAAGTTCCTGATATTATTAAACTTTCTGTTTTCCATTAATCTGGTACGTTGCGTCGAATAACAAATTAATTATGTATGGAATATGACTTATTCTTGGCCTTTAAGACAATGTGCCATGGATTGTATTAGAGAAGTGGGAATAACTAGTCGCCACACGTGGCAATGCCTTTTCTGTTTCCATTAATATTTTATGACCGCCTTTGTGCTTTCCATTGTAAAATATGTTGAATATAGTACATGAAGAAGGAAACGTTTTCGACCCACTGTAAGAACCGATGGCCGTGTAGTGAAATTTCGCCCGTAAGTCGATTAAGATCATTTGCAGCTTTAAATAGTTTCGTGTCAACTATGCATCAATTTGAGCCAAAGTGTGTTGCCAGAAACTGGATAGCCAGAATCATGTTACAAGCTCTGAGGGGATGCCATCCGATATTAAGTAGCTCACTTCAAATCTTTACCAACAAAGTAATAGTTCGACGATGTTTAAAAGCTTTTCATGGAATATTGTCAAGATTAATACTTTAGAACAGTGTCTCATGAATTATTTTGGAAAATTAAGACTGTAAAAAACACTTCGGGGTCGATGAATCCGATGTTACAAAAAGCTGATTTAATGACTTTCAAAACATTTTTGTTGAGTGATTCGCCTAAAAAATATTTTTCTTTTAAAAGGTAAGAACTGGTGTATCAAATATTGATAAATAGCGCCCTTAAATTACAATAAAAAACGGATTTTGATCAAAAGGCAATCGGTACTGCACCTATAAATTATCGTACGACACACTTGGGCTGAAGCTATAAGAGGAAATTCCCATTAGAAAATTAATTAATTTGAAAATGCTACCTTGACGATTCTATAGCAATTCTTCTATATTTATCAAAAGGTACCTAAAAAATACAATTTTTATAAATTATTAAATAAGGCAAACAAAGGTGAACAAACACGTAAAAATTCGCTCCGAGTTTGAGTTTATTTTACAAATTTGAATAATACTTTTACTTAGTTCTTGATTTCCTTTCCAAAAGGAATTCGGTTTTTTTGCGAAATCAAGGCAGAATTTTTCAATATATAATAAAAGACGTGAGAAACTTCTATGTTTTTTTAAAGATAAAAATGTTTTGCAAGCATTAATCATATGAAAGCTGTCTTGATCAAACTGACTATTTATTATATTTTCTTCATTGAAAAAATCTGTGTAAGTAATTTTATACGAAACTCAATCAAGTTTACACACATTTAAGTTTACAATTTTGTCTTGTGTAAATCATTTTTAAGCGGTAAATAATTAAAATGTTTTCAAAAATCAGCTTCATTTAGTCAATATAAATTATTTGACTCCTGTATTTTATTAAGTCGTTGCTACGATAATTTTTTGATTATATAAACGCAAACCGCTCATTATTTTCTCATCTAACAAACCCTATAGGTCTAAAAAAGACACTTTAGTAGTAATTAATCGAAACTAACGCAAAGAAACCCCAACTAACCGAATCAAAGCCAATCAAACCGAAACAAACACAAAGAAATCTAAACTAACCCACACAAACTCTAGCAAATCCAAACTATCTCTTAAAATGGCCGAAACTAACCCAAGCAAACTCGAACAAACCGAAACAACCCCAAACAAATTCAGATTCAGAAACTGGGTATAAATAGCAAAAATCTCAAGAAATCTTCAACTATTTCCTTGCTGGTATATGAATAAATTTTTAGAGTGGGCCAATTTAATACAAATCAATAATCGCCCAAAGTTTGCGCTTTTTTTTATAAATTAACACTTTTGCAATTTTTTCGGAATGTGTAAAGGGTGGTGTGAAGATGGGGATTGTTTTTTCAAATCAATTTTTTTAAGCGAAACATTCAACAAAAATGTTTTGAAAACATGAATCCAGCTTAACTATATGAAACCTAATGAAAGTAATTTTATTCGATGCAATGCAAATGTGTAAAGTCAATCAACTTTACACATTTGCATTGCATCATAATTCTACCAATTTTATGGGATAAATTTTGAAAACCTGAAATTTGATTTAAAAACCAAATACTATTTGATTCCTGCAGTATTTTGTTGCAATGGTGGTCTTAATATTTTTTACTTAGTAAGTAATTACAAAAACTGTTCAACATTTTCTTATATATTTCTTCATATTTCTTCAATGTGTACTTTATAAGCCTTAAACACAAAATATTTCTAATATGCAATCAACAGATAGACCTTAAACAGATAGTCTAATTAAATGCATTTAATCGAAACTACCTCAAACAAACAGCAAATAACCACATCGAACCCAAACAAACCCGCCCAAAATCGAACAAGCCGAAACTGAGTCTAAAAATTACCCAAACCAACCCAAGCAAACCCAAACCAACGCAAATCAATTCAGATATGTTAAAAGCGGCTGTTCTTAGCAAGGACACATTTATGCAAAATAATTGGGTCCAAATAGCAAAAATTTCAAAGAATCTATACCGTTTTATAGCTAGTCAATTTTTGGTAAACAAATCGTTCACTTTTGCAAAATAAAGACACTATGTATTAATCAATCTGTAATAAAAGACGTGAAAAAATTCTGCGCTTTTTTAAGACAAGAATTTTTTAGGCGAGAAGTCGAACAAAAATATTTTGGAAACATGAACTTTAATTAATCATATAAACCTAGATCTAACTGATGCTTATCTAAATAAGATTTATTTCTTATATTTTCTCATTCCAAAAGTATTCTACATGCAATTTTGTTAGCACTTCAATCAAGTTACCAAAACAGAGCCGACAAAATGACCCAAACGAAACTATACAAACCCCAACAACCCACCCGAAACGAATTAAGATTTATAAAGGAAGGAGGGGTTTAAATCAATTCTAATCAGAATTCAATAAAACCTTTGCAGCTACACATTTTAACAAAAGAACTGGATTTAAATATCAAAAATCTTGGAAAATTTTAGGCCATTTTCTTGCTTGTCATCAGTGCTTTTTATTACATTAGAAGATCCAACCCTTTCCACAACTTTGCTTTTTTAAGAAACAATTATTTCAACTCTTTAATTTAACGTTCTCCATGACCCCGAAAAAAAACACCACCTTGTTCAATACTCTTTTAAGAGTTATCTTGTTAAGTTATGGACAAATTTTCGAGTGTTGGTTAGAATTGGCTCTAAATACTCCATTGGTTTCAGGTGTTTGGTGCAATATCGACCGGCTGGAGCTGATTATGCCCCGATACGCCCTAAAAGGGGGCGAAGTCGTCCTCCACTGCGACCATAGTGTCCCGCCAGAGCATCTACATAAAGTCGAGTATAAAAAGGGGGACGACAAGGTGCTTCTATACGTTAAAGGACGAAACCCTGCGTGTAGAATTTGGAGAGTTCGTGGAGCAACATTAGCCGTAAGAACTTTTGCAGTGATATTTTTTTTTTCATAAAGGGAGCATATTTATGGAAATTGAACATCGGAGACAAAGTACCCAATTCTGTCAGACATAGGCATATCAACCTATAAATATTTAAGGGCATATCCTAAATGGCACTCAACGGGGCCTCAATGTCGGCCTTTAGGGAGTTTAGCCACTATTAGGACTAAATACGCATCAGAACTTTAACCCACTTGTCCCCATTCACACCCTGTCTTAATTATTTTGAACGGCGATCGACGTCCATTAATTAGTGTGGGCATTGCGAAGCAATTTAGCCTAAACGAAATTTGCATTTTAATCAAACAACAGCGGAAAATTCTGATAAAAAAAGGCAAATTAATCCAAGGAGAATTTTTTTTAGGATCAATACTGCAATGCCACTCATGTTCGTCTGGACAATTTAACTTTTGCAGCAGGAGGATCCTACCATTGTGTGGTTTCAATGGAAACGCCCAGTATATTTACGAAAGAATCGGATTCAAAAGAGTTGACAATCATAGGTGCGTATATTGTGCGGGTTGATTGAAATTCAAGGAATCGAATGTGATTTATGTCCGGTCTCCTGTTCCAACACACATAATACGACACAGATTCGAAGTGACACGGAATGAGAGCTTCTCTGTATTTTGATATCCGTGATACCTCGCACCGAATGGTTCATTGAAGCGAACTGCAATTGGAAAAGTCGATAGTGGAAATTTCAACTGGGTGATCGAGGGAATTCTAAACATAACTCAGCTTCTGCAGGATTTTAAATGTAAATCTCAATTACGGTTGAGTTTGGGAAAATGTGGTGCTCCTGGTAATTTTTATTTCAAATGTTCATCACTTTATGACGGTTAGATTATTTAAATAGTCAACGCTGAATTTTTCAGTGATTTATTCAAAAATATGCAGAAATTCTGTCCCCAGATTGCTCTTATTAATTATTACAGGTTTTATCGAACCATTTTGTTTCTGAGCAGTATTTTAATAGTAAAACGCTCGTTGTATTGAAACTGGGGTTTTTCGGGCTTTTAGACCGTCGTGGAAAATAATTTCTTCCTAACGTTTCGCAAGAACGAGACACTTACATCTTCGGACCTCAAAAGCCCGAAAAACTCAACAGTTTCCACCCTAAAATTTGTTTGAAAATCGAAGCCGCTGTTAAAGTTTAATGACTTGATCTGACCTCCATTGCCAAAGCAAACATAGCGTAAACCTTTTTAAAAAAATGATAGAAAATTGAAAAAAAGCTGATAACCTAACCCAAACTGTTTAGCTAAACATTTCCAACGAATTTTGCACTAATAATAATTCCTTTATTATTTCGTGCCTGCACACTTTGACCGTTATAATTGGAATAATTAGTTACTCTGTTCATAGATCCCCAAAAAGGCGACCCAAGAATTAGCTTCACAAAACAGACATTTGCCGTTGGGGACAAACTTGAGGCCAATTGTACCACTTTTCCTTCCAGACCTTCTCCATACATCACCTGGTTCATTAATGATAAAAAGGTAGGTAGGAAAGGCGCTAGAATTAACACTAATCTTAGCACAAAAATGGCATAGAAAAAATCATCATGAAAAATTAATTAGGCCAAAAGTCAAGCGCACCTTCTTCTAACTATGTAAATCCAATAATTCGGGAGCAGTTGTTGATACACTGACAAAAAATTTCGCGCTTTGTATAAAACATTGATAAGTTGAAACATTTAATACGTTGTAGATAAGTTCTATATTGTTGAGGCGGATTCATTTTTTACAAACTTCTTTTTGGGTATTTCGC